AGGACATTTATTGAAGGAAATGTCCTGAACTGGACACAAGTGTCCTTTTCCTTAATTTGTCATCATCACCATACCATTTGCAATCATCAGAGTATATGCTAAAAATTTTAACAAATGGATGTATCAGTTTAAATAGTGACAGGATCTGACCCTATGATATGGCAGTAATTGAATTGCTAGTCTGGTGCCTTAGACAAACTCTGATGAGTTTGGTTTAGACACAGGGCTGATAATTCTAGGATGGACAGACTAGCCATCCTAGAATTATCAGCTCTGTGCCTAAACAAACCTCACCAGAGTTTGACTAAGGCACCAGACTGGTAATTCAAGTACTCTCAGATCATGGGGGTCAGATCCCATCACTCTTGTTGAACTGATACATCCATTTGTTCAAATTTTTAGAAAACCATTATCCCAATTAAATTATCATACTACCTGAAAAGCAGCAAGCAAAATACAGTATTAAAAGCTTGAGAAATTAAAATATAAATTTTTATAAAAAAATTAAATTTCATTTTAAAAAATGAACATGAAATTTTAAACAGCTCTTTTGTTAAGATAACGAAAATACTGCCAACGATGAAGATAATGATTGTAATAATCATATGGATAGTTATTGTCATTTGTCTGATATAAAACGACAGGGCTATCACCACAAGCAACAAGAAAACACCTATTACAATTGAAGTTAGTGATGTGCTCTTAACCCAAGGAATTGGAGGTATCCTCCCCTTCCCTGGATCAAACTTGATTACCTCCTGTTCAAAATGTAATGTATGATCCTTGTGGGTTTAGCACAACCTATGACTAATAAAAATTACAGGAAAATATTTATTACTAATACAGCCTCTCCTCACTTAGCGACGTACTCGTTTACCGACGACTCAGACTTACGACGGGTTCTCTGACCAGCATGCATACCAAAATACAGGTCTCCCTCAACATTCACGTTTTCAACTTTCACGGGCTTCACACATTCGCGAATTCCCAACCGCCAAATTCCCAGCCACCAAATCATATTTAAGTTTCCCGCCACCTGTGAGTCCTTACTACCCTCCCTCCGACCCCCGCAACTGGCAGCCAGCCCTCCCACCACTCAGTGTGGTGAGTGTTTTGTTTGTTCATTATTTGCTATTAAACTACAGTATAAATAATGTAAACTCATTCATGACTGCATATTGGAATGGCTATTCGGACAGGTATTAGACGGTGGCATCATGTGTTTACTCTTGAACACTGCAAAGAATTAAACATTTCTGCTACAGCTAATAATAACAATACTAATAATAATAATAATAATAATAATAATAATAATAATAATAATAATAATAATAAATATGATATAATTGAAGAAGGAAATTGTACAAAAATACGAGGGAGTGGTTGACACATCGTCAGTGTGACTTTGTTTATGCTGGAGTGAACATTAGTCTCGCTGCTCTTCCAAACATTTCACAATAATTCACTGTGTTTGGTGCTTGTAGACTGAGTGTGACTGGAGTGGTAGAGGCAATGGTATTTAATAATATACATGTTAATAATAATACGTGTTATTAATAATATGTACTATTATTATTTATAACATATATGTTATTAAATAGGTAGTAGGTTGGTAGACAGCAACCGCCCAGGGAGGTACTACCGTCCTGCCGAGTGAGTGTACAACGAAAGCCTGTAATTGTATTACATGATGGTAGGATTGCTGGTGTCTTTTGTCTGTCTCATAAACATGCAAGATTTCAGGTATGTCTTGCTACTTCTACTTACACTTAGGTCACACTACACATACATGTACAAGCATATATATACACACACCCCTCTGGGTTTTCTTCTATTTTCTTTCTAGTTCTTGTTCTTGTTTATTTCCTCTTATCTCCATGGGGAAGTGGAACAGAATTCTTCCTCCGTAAGCCATGCGTGTCGTAAGAGGCGACTGAAATGCCGGGAGCAAGGGGCTAGTAACCCCTTCTCCTGTATATATTACTAAATTTGAAAGGAGAAACTTTCATTTTTCCTTTTATGTCACCCCACCTCGGTGGGATTCGGCTGGTACATTGAAAGAAAGATGTTATTAAATACATACATGTTAATAATAATACATGTTATTAATAATAACATGTACTATTAATATTTATAACATATATGTTATTAAATACCACTGCCTCAACTGCTGAATTATTGTGAAATGTTTGGAAGAGCAGGGAGACTAATGTTCACTCCAGCATAAACAAAGTCACACTGATGATGTGTCAACCACTCCCTCGTATTTTTGTACAATTTCCTTCTTCAATTATATCGTATTTATTATTATTATTGTTATTATTACTATTACTATTGTTATTATTAGCAATAGCAGAAATGTTTGATTCTTTGCAGTGTTCAAGAGTAAACACATGATGTCACCGTCTAATACCTGTCCGAATAGCCATTCCAATATGCAGTCATGAATGGGTTTACATTAATTATACTGTAGTTTAATAGCAAATAATGAACAAACAAAACACTCACCACACTGAGTGGTGGGAGGGCTGGCTGCCAGTTGCGGGGGTCGGAGGGAGGGTAGTAGGGACTCGCAGTGGTGGAGGCATTGGTGGAGTCTGTGGTATTTAATAACATACATGTTTTTAAATAACATACGTTATTAAAGCATAACATGTATATATTTAGAACAATTTACGACGTTTTCATGTATTTTATGATTATTCATGGTTCAACAAGTTAAGGAAGCAGTATTGTAATATATTGTAATATATTGGGGCACCAAACATTCACGGTTTTTCAACATTCGCGAGGCTCTTGATCCCCTAACCCTCACGAATGTTGAGGGAGACCTGTAATGTATATCAGAGCTGATTTCCTCTATTCTGTTTATTTCAATATAAAGTACACTACTGTATAAACATTTAATAATATACCAGAAATGTTATAAATGGTGCAAAGGTAACAGTAAAACAATATCAAAGATGATTGACACAAACCCACTACCATTATAGTAAGTTCCTCACTTAGCAACGAATTCGTTTACTGACGAGGTCTTAGGAACAGAACTCCATCATCGTTAAGTGAGGAGAGGCTGTATAAGATTTACCAAAGAAACTGCAAGACCCAATACTTGAACATTTAGCAACTGAAAGAATCATCAAACTTTATATACCTGTCTTAATATTATATTTAGGTGCCATACACCATTAGGTTTGACCCAAGGAAGGAGAGGTCAACTCCAACTCCTTAGAGCAAGAGCCCCCTCACCAGCATGAAGGAACCTTTCTTGAAAGGACAGATGTGCCCTAACAGAAGGCATCATCTAAAGTCCCTTAAAAAATCTTTTTAGTCATATACAGACCACAAGCAATCCCAGAGTACTACAAGTGTTACTGCATCCCAGAGTACTACAAGTGTTACTGCATCCCAGAGTGCTACAAGTGTTACTGCATCCCAGAGTGCTACAAGTGTTACTGCATCCCAAAGTGCTACAAATGTTACTGCATCCCAGAGTGCTACAAGTGTTACTGCATCCCAGAGTGCTACAAGTGTTACTGCATCCCAGATTGCTACAAGTGTTACTGCATCCCAGAGTGCTACAAGTGTTACTACATCCCAGAGTGCTACAAGTGTTACTACATCCCAGAGTGCTACAAGTGTTACTACAGCCCAGAGTGCTACTACCAAGAAATCCTGGAAATGAAAATGAATGTTGTATCTATACAATACATTCTGTTCAACTTACCTGACAATTACTATGTGTCTACATCTTTAGTCTCCATAATTTTAGGGCAAATTCTACATAATATACTGTTCTAAATTTTGGAGATCATTCTGAATTCAACATTTCTAAAAATATTTTCTTATTCAGAAAACTGCAAATTAGAAAGACTTTTCTAATATAATTCAAGATTTTTACTTTTATTCTCACAAGTCATTGTGATTATCATTCAAAATTCTATATATTTTAAATTTGGGAAAATTATGAACATGTAAAAAGACTTACAAATTAGAGAGATACAATATAACTTGAACAAACACTTGCATGTTCAATGAAAAGTAAACTGTTTTCACGTTTAAAAAAAAAAAATGAAAGGTCATTAGTTAAGGCAAAACCAGTTTCATAGAAATACAATAAAACAAAAAGTGGTCATGTGTGGTGATACACTGTTTTGTGTTTTGGTGTGTGGTGTTGTGCACAGCTGAACCCTGTAATTCACCAGTTACGTTCCTGAAGATGATGTGAAACTTGATATTGTGGCTAACATGTCTGAATGATTTTTAAATAAAAATTGCCCATACATCTTTAAATAATGCTCTAATCTGCTTAATATATACATTCATAAAATAAAGAATGAGCACACCTTGAAATTCTATGGTTGCTTTTCAATTTAGGAGTCATGTGCCATGGAAAAAAAACGTGAATAATCAAAAATATCCACTAAACAGCCTTCAATAAATACGTTGTAATATAAAATCAAATTACACAGATTACAAAGCCTGCTGAATTTTCAAGCTCTACTGTGCTGTATTTAGAATTAAACAAGAAACATCTATAAATAACCAAAGAAGAATACTTATCACGATACCATCAGTGGAACAATTTACAAGGAACTCATTATATGGAGACAAAACTCCAAATAACATTTCTGTCCCTCATGGATAATTATCAAGCTACAACAGCTGTCACAATGATAATAGTTAAAGATGGGCCAGAGTACACAAATAACCCACACATAAGAGAAAGAAGCTTATGACAATGTTTCTGTTTGACTTGGACCATTAACTAGTTTATTGTTCCAGTCACAGTATTGTGCCTCTATTTTTTATGAGCCAGAACATTGAGGCTTCCTCTCCATATACTGTGAGTCAATTATGAATATAACTAATGCAAAATTGGTGCAAACCTGTAGAGAACAATTATTTATGTTATGCATAACCTATTTTTGGTGAGTCAGTGTTAGTAATAGCAGTCACGATAATATAACTGTTAAACAAAAAAAAGACTGAGTACTTACTCGGTCCTGCAGTCGTTGGTGAGCGACTAGGTGACTGGGAGTCTACAACAGGTATATGCAAACATCGCTGACACAGACACTCCTTCCCAGTATAAGTAACTCGTTCACCCGTTGGAAATGGTTGTCTGTAATGAGAGAAAAGATTTTTAGAGGAAAGGCAAAAACTAAGAACATAATAAATCTGACAAAGTGGGAGTCATCACAAGTGCTCTCTGATAATGACACTTCTCTGGGAGATTTTATAGTAAAGTTGCAAAAGGAAGCTGAAAGTGAATACATATATATAGAGCAAGATGATGGGAGTAAGATGGGAGACTAGGAGGGAGTGTACAAGAAGTTGAAAATAAGCATACAAAAAGCAAGATAATGAGAAGAAGACAATGTCAAAGCAATGAAAGACTGGATGTTAAGATTGGAGGGAAGGCATACAGATGAAATACTGTTAATGTATTTAGAAATTTGAGACTGCTCCATAAAAGATGAAGTGATTCACAGAATGGATGAGCAAAGGATGGTAGCTACAGAGTTTTGAAAAGTATGTGGGAAGAGGTTATCAATGGATGCAAAATAGGAAAATGTACCAGAGAAAAGTCATACCAACACTCTCGTCTACAGCAGATGCAAGGCATGATTTTTAAACACTGCAGTAAAGATGAGGTTGGAGGATAGAGGTTATCAAGTTGGGTCCATGGGAGGAAAAGGTAACTTAGATTCAGAGAGCTTCAGCAGCATTAAGGCACTCCTTGGAAACAGGGAAGGTGTGAAGAAGATTATGAAAAGAAGGAGCCTGAGAATGCAGCAGGAATGTGTTAGCATGCCGTATCAAAGCAAGTTTCGACATGTGACTTTTATGATTTTGCATGCTATGTGCGTGTAAGCAAGGTAATGTCTATGAAGAGATAAATGGAAATTAGTTAGCTGAAGCTGAGTCCTGAAGGTGGTGGTATGTAGGTAGGTGGTATTGTGCTTCCACAGTGGGAATGAAATGGTCCATGGATGCTGAATGTACATCTTTCTTTGGGTCACCCCCTGCCTTCATGGGAAATAGCCATTTTTTTTTTTTAAACTACCAAATTTTATCAATACACAGGGAAATTCAATGCATAAGTAACTCCCTCTCAGTATTTGGGGAGAACAGAGGTGACAGCAATTCCAATTCTGAGAGGCGAGAAGGGTGGATGAATAGTCAAAAAGAAAACATGCAGAAAATTTTATTTCAATTAATGCCCAAGTATTTACATTATATAGGTGGAAATGCAAGGTAACAGTGGACAGATACGAGCTGGCAAGAATGAAGAGAGATGAGAGAGATGAGAGAGATGAGAGAGATGAGAGAGATGAGAGAGAGAGAGATAGAGAGAGATAGAGAGAGAGATAGAGAGAGATAGAGAGAGAGATAGAGAGAGAGATAGAGAGAGAGATAGAGAGAGAGATAGAGAGAGAGATAGAGAGAGAGATAGAGAGATAGAGAGAGAGATAGAGAGAGATAGAGAGAGAGATAGAGAGAGAGATAGAGAGAGATAGAGAGAGATAGAGAGAGAGATAGAGAGAGAGATAGAGAGATAGAGAGAGAGATAGAGAGAGAGATAGAGAGAGAGATAGAGAGAGAGATAGAGAGAGTAGAGAGAGAGAGAGAGATAGAAGAGAGATAGAGAGAGATAGAGAGAAGAGAGATAGAGAGATAGATGAGAGGAGAGAGAGAGAGAGAGAGAGAGAGAGAGAGAGAGAGAGAGAGAGAGAGAGAGAGAGAGAGAGAGAGAGAGAGAGAGAGAGAGAGAGAGCAAGAGGGTTGGTGACAGGATTACTGAGCAATAGGGAAAAAAATTGTGAAAAGAGGAGAGAAAATAGTCTACAGTATAACATGTTCTGCTCTGCTGTGGACAAAACCAGAAAATACTTAAAAGAACATCTACAAATCAAGTACAGTGGTACCTCGAGTTTCGAACAGCTTCCAACTGAAAACAATTATCTAAGAGTATTTTTTGTAAGTGCTTTTGTAAGTGTATTTTTGGGGGTCTGAAACGGACTAATCTAATTTACATTATTCCTTATGGGAAGAAATTCGTTCGGTATAGGCACTTGAACAGCCTTCTGGAATGAATTAAGTTCATAACTCGAGGTGCCACTGTACTGTAATTGTAAAATGTCATCAAAATATCATACCTGCAACGCGCACACGTGAAGCATTTTTGATGGTATGAATTACCAAGGGCAGAGACAACTTCTCCCTCTACGTATAACCCACATGTAGCGCATCGTTGGCCAAAGTTCTTCTGGTAACATTCAGTACAATAGTAGTCCTTCTCCCGTGTGAAGAAGCCTCCCTGTGCTAGTGACTTCTTGCAGCCTAGAAAATAACACTGGAAATTAAGTAACATAATTCAATACAAACAATTTTTTATATGTTGTTAATCTTATCCATAAATGCATACAGGAGTGCCCCACATAAACAGCACCCTCTCTTCAGAGTTCCACATCTTATTTTGTTTTCATTATGTTCAGTGCTTTTACCACTTTTCTACTGTTTTCGTACAACAGTTGCATAAGGAAAGGGTGACCATATTTTAAAATAAGTATTGTATGTACGTACTTTGTATTTATTTCACTTTTTTATCCATTTTTTTATGCCTAACATATGCTTAATATATGATAGTGTAAACACATTATTAGGCATTTTAGATGCATTCAATAATAAAGAAAATACTTTTTTCCATCCACTGGTGATTTTCACTTACTATGCTGGGTTAGGAACCTAAGAGCCATACAAGTGGGGCCCTCCTGTATGCACAGCTTCTATTTCTTTATGCATTAAACATCTTCATACATTAAACTCAACAGGTTTGAAATTACGGATGTCCCAATAAATCTGCTGGTTTCCATTTCCTCAGATTTTGATTATCCAACTTTTTACTGAAGATCAACTAGTGAACAGATTCAATTATTCAAGTTATCCTGTACATGAATCTTGATTCCTTTCTTTCACATTTAGCAAAAAACACTTATTACCATTTTTTTTTTTTGTAGGAGAGGCTACCTGATCATGGAACCACTAGCTATAAAATTTTTGCCCATATTATTAATATCAGTTGGTGTTTTACCTCATGGAAAAATGATTCTACAAAGAGGAGTTAGTGAAAAAGCTTGCAGTTGTGCAATAATAATAATAATAATAATAATCTTTATTTCTACAAGTGCATATACAAGGTATACAGGCTTAGCTGACATCAATGACATACTACTACAAAGCCCCTTGTTATGCAGAGCATTTCAGACAAATTAGGTGAATTTTGTCCCCAGGATGCAACCCACACCAATTGACTAACACCCAGGTACCTATTTTAGCATTAAAGAGGAAGACAATTATGTATTTTAAACATGAAATTTGAGGTTATATAGCATGGTATTGATGGGAGTGTAGTTTGTGGTGAGTGAATGGTGCCATGATACCATCTACTGCTCACTACCTGATTCCACACTAAATTAATACAGGAAGCTAATGTATACTGTATTTGCTGATTATTGCACTTCTGTTCTAGATTTCTGTAGTGTATCACTAATTAAATTTACTAAATTTGTGTAAATCAGAACTTGTAAACTATTTTTGGGCCAAATATGTTTCTGTTTGAATTCATTTCTATTTATATAATAGGTTTTAATGGGATTTGCCCCCTTGAAGGCTGCCTCGAGAAAAACTGGGGTTTTCGTAAAAGTAACTATACATAATTAAATGGAGGTTGCCTACACTAACAATTCTTAATATTTACACACATCACAAACAAAACTTTATTTCTTTATAAAGTGGAGTATAGTATATTATACAATTAGAGTGACTGACATATATTACTACTTTATAGATAGTCCTTTGTTATACAAAGCATTTCAGACAGCTTTAAAATTTAATTATGATTACAAGTATATGAGAGCCAGGAGAAAGGGGCTAGTAATCCCTTCCCCATTACAAATTACTACATATAAAAGGAAAAACTTTTGTTTTTCTTTTTAAGTCACCCTGCCTTGGTGGGAGATGGCTTATGTGTTGAAAAAAAAAAGTGTATGAGAATTAGAATACACAGTTGCATTCAATTACACCTGACAAAAACTATTCTATATAGCCGAGGAAATGCTTAAAAAGTTGTTCAAAATGTAAGTAAGCCCAAAATCAGTGGCAGCAGTAGTGTGGTGTCTGAACCTAGAACTCACAAGCACAAATCAGAAAAGTGGGGTGAGAGAGCAAATAATAAAACTGAAACACCCTCTTCACTTGCAAAGAGTTTTTTTTAATGCAGCAAAACCATAATTTTATACTAATCTTGACTACAACACATCTGTAGAAGTTGAAGAGTACAACAACTGGAATGTGCAGTACAATTTACATTTACAAGCTTAAATTATTCTTTACATAATATCAATACAGTCCTTTATATATACGTATACTATTATACATGTAATATAAAGTCATCCTGAATAGCACAAATAATTTCAGTACCTTTAGAATTAGTACTTTAAAAGTTGTACTGTAGACTGTCAAACAAAACTAAACAACATACGACTGCAGCTGCTGTGGTGGAACTAAGTGACAAAATTTAAAATGATATGCCTAACAATGTGAGTAATAGCCACAACGCAAGCCATGATGTAGACTCCATCATTACTCTACTTAGTAAACACCCACACTGCTGCAACATGCCAGCTGTCCTAGAGAGCCTGCTGTCATTCTTTTCATACTCCAGACTGTCATACCACCAAAGGATATTATATTTTATAGAATGTACAGTAGCTACGAGGTTACACCAACACTTTTTGAGGAATTTTTATGAAATACTAAGTGCCCAGCAAGGGCAATTCAACAAATAATTCATGCTGCTTTGGGAACCATTTTGCAACTTGTGCTTGGAGTTTTTTATCTTTTCCACATGATTTATAGGTGCAGACACTGCACTACTGCTGCCTTTAAGTTCTGGACTAACTTGCATTATAAACATTTTTTTTTTTTGTTAAAAGCTTTCTCCCTTCCATATACAATATCTGAAGAGCATAAAAGTTTGCTAGTGAAGCATACCAGTTTCTCACAACATCATTTATACGATTTTCCAATAATTTTTTGTTAATGATAACTCCTAGTTCCCTATCTCCATCTGTCACTTTTGATCATTTTTCACACAATGTGTGACAACTTATTTATATGTACTCAACTCCATCATCCATCTCTGTAGTTGTTACATTTGTCCAAGACATTTTGCAAAGATTTGCCATCATAAATGCAATAAGTCCATCCATTTCCCCCACATACCCACAGATGCCCATGGATACAGATTAAGTTTATCAGAGGCATAAACATGACAAAGAAGACATTAACACCATTATTTAAATAAGATTTCTATGTTGATCCAGTTCCAATCAAATGTTGTTATCTTTTAATTACATTACCTAACAGAATACTACTCCATTCTACTGAATGAACAGCAATGCATGCAACCATATGACCTGTCTTTGTAATACTCAAACTAATTGTTACTTAAGCTTAATTGTTTTCTGTTTACAATAATGTTTTACCACTGAATACATCATTGCTTAGTTAATCTTAAGTTAATTTTAAGCCAGCCCATAATGCTCTGCATACAAGGGGCTTTGGCATGCTGCACTTAACTGTATTGTTTTGTACTTCTCTGCATCATGTTCAAATTAATAAATAAAATAAAATAAAATCATTGGCTCTGTTAACTCATGCTATCTCATTGATGCTTACAGTAAATCATATACTAGTACTACAGTACCTGCATTTACAAATTTGGAAGATAACATATAGATCATCTGGAAAGTACACTGTATTTAAATTTCATGTACAGAAGTGTAATAGGTACTGAAGAACCTAATCTGATTAACATCACTAACAGAAACTGCTCATCTCAACAAGTCCAGGAAAACAAAAAGTCACCATAAAGCACATTACAGTACTACTGTGGACTTAAAAAAATAAAATCCACAGAGTGAACAACTTTTTAAATATTTTCTAGAAATGAAGCTGTAAAAACTACAATTATTACAGATAGAGATTTAATAGCTAGGATAGTGAGAGGCCTTTATAGAAAGAGGAAGCCCATGGGAAAAGACAAATATAATCAGCAAAGGAGGAAGATAAGTGTAGATATATCTTCAATGGATTAAACAGTCCATGCAATGAAAGTCATTGTGAAATTACTTTGAAGACCAAATAGAAAAAAGTTAGAACCAATCATATTAAATTTATGGTGGCTGTATTCCAAAATGCACTCATAAGCTGAGGTACAGTATAATGTTAAGGGTTAGTATTTTAAGAGTGTAATAAAAATATTTCTTAAATACAGATATGACTACCATATAATGTAATGCAAGAATGTGAGAAAAATAAGCTATACCCCATCAGCAGCAATGAGTGTGAGGCAGCAACCTAGTTCAGAGCATCAACCAACTCACCAGGAGCAACTTGATCTTAATGGATGTTCAAAAGAAGTTTATGAGTGCAGTCATCAGTGTAAACTGACAGTCACATACACTAGAATGCATGCACGATGATATGCATGAATGGCCTTCAATATCCAAGAAAACTGCATCTTTACTTTTAGATTAAAACCATAATTAATATCCTTGCAATATATAATATTAATGTGCTGAAAGTTAATGGAGTATGTAAAGGAATTAAATATTCAATGTACTGCTGTACAATAATATACAGAATACTTACACAATTATATGTCTAATTTACAATGTTAAACTAAATTTCCTAAAACCTGGCAGATATAGAGTAACAGTGATGGCACTTACTGTGGCACTTAAAGCAGTTAATATGGAAGTACTTCTCCTGGACTCGGAGCACTTCACCAGAGCACTTCTTACCGCAAGACTCGCACAATGTTTTCCCTGTAAAGGCACAACATTATCAGCATAAAATGTACAAAACCATTCTTTTAAATTTTCAGTAAACAACAAAACTGACATTTAAGATTTCAGGAGTGTTTAATATAGAATTGAATGATGACCATCTGGCAATCATAAAAGGGAGTTTGCTAAAGTGTAGCTGTATATAAATAAAACCAATTTATATTTAATGCTTTATTAATACAGTATTTTAAAAGTTCAACATTTTGGATAAATGTAAGTTGAGTACGGGGTAAATAGTATTCATGCTTCTGAAGGACAAGACACATGAGCTCACAATGATAAAACCAAGAACACAGATATAATAATTCATGAATCACAATAAGACTTGACAAACTAGTCACAATTTTCTATTATTTAAAAAGACTATTGGTTCTAGATTTGAATCTAACTACAAAGAATAAAATAACCCAAGCAGTACAATCCACCAGATCTGTGACAACAAAAATACATGTACTGTATTTTGATGTATCAAAGCCTCACCTAAACTAGATGTAATAATGTGAAACATGACACTTATAATTAATTTTACTATTTGTGGAAGACCATGCAATGAAATTAACTAATGTTTAAATCTATTAGTAAAGAAAATGTTGTCTTGGTCTGTGTAGTACTGCAGATTGTAATATTACAAGGCATTTTTTTTTTTTCAAATAAATTATTTTTAAACAACTGGTCTGGTACAGCACATTTAAATTAAGTTAATAATTAAGTTTTTTATTTCTGATTAGCAATACAGTAGTTATTTTGATATTCTAACTGACTACAATTTTTGCTTTGATACAATTATAATACGAATATAATTTGATACACTTGCAAGCGCTGTAGAAAGCCACTTATTGTGCAATGCATTTTGGGCCAACTAATTGTCGCCCTTAAAGTTGGGTCTCCTAAATTTGAAAGGAAACACAGCAGTTCCTCCAAATTTGAGGGAAGTTATGGCTGGGGGGTGGAATGGGGGCCCTTTCCTGGGAAAAATTTTTTACTGTTTTAAAAATTTTCAATTTTTTCTTTCATAAAATAGTGCATAATTAAAGGGATATCTGGTGTCTAAATTTTGTTTCTAAACTTTTTCTAAGCAGAGTTACTGGAAATTACAAATTTTGCCAGAATACAATTCATCACTGATAATAACATATTTCATGTTATTTTAGTGTTTTGTGGATAGTTCTTCCTTTATTAATTGTTTTGTTTTAACATATAAAAATCATTATTATGCAAATGTTTAAGGCAAAAATGGATTAGAAGAAAAATTACAGCCATTTGAAGACACAAAACATCCACGATTTTATTGGAAATCACTTGGATATCCCTATGTGTAGCCTCAGTATTTACTAAATAATCATAAAAATTCTCACTGATATTAAACAAGAAGTCACTACTGAACAATACGCAAATAACTTGCACATAGGAGAGAGGAGCTGACGACAATGTTTCGGTCCAACTTGCACCATTTACAAAGTTAGTGTGACTGTAAATGGTCCAAGCTGGATCGAAACGTCGTAGTAGGCACCTCTCTCCTATGTGCAGGTTATTTGTGTATTGTTCCAGTCACAGACTCAGAGCCAGGATTAGGGGGTACAGGCCCCAACTGGGAACAATTTTGGTGGGCCCCATGTATGGAAAGCAATCAAACTGTGCGCTTAAAAAATGCATGCGAGTTAACAGACCAAACAGATGTAAACTACATTTTAATATAAAATTGCATACATGTAAGCCTACAAACAAAATTAGTATATCACCTCTGAAAAGTACATAGTCACAATACCACTTGCTTTAGTGACTGTGAAATGATTTATTAAAAATATAAATTTATTTTTGTTCAGAAAAAAAATCAGAATTTAAGTGCACTTTTGGAAACAAATTATCTTTTGGACCTCTAAAAATCACTTAACATTCATAAACTATAAATGAGTCATATTATTATTGCCTTTTATTAGGAAAAGTTATTTTTCTTGCTTTTTTCTCTGCAAAGTCTTTTAGAATTTTGTTGAAGTTTAAACTCCTGTTAATTTCAATTCAACTGACATGATCACCAAACTGTTCAAACGTTCTTGCTGAATTGATGATCACAAGTTTTATCAGTTTCAGCTTGGAAAAACTCCTTTCTCCAGATGCCACAGTCACTGGGATTGTCAAGAAAATCCGAAGAGCAATAAATAAATTTGGAAATGTGGTATACCTGTTGTCGCAAGCAAGGAATTCATGCATTTTCATGGGGTTTTGAATCTCTGATGGCAGAACTGACTTTGGTGCCTCCATTTCCTCACAAAGCATGTATCCATCTATATCAGTCAGTTTTGTGGTTTTAAATTGATCTTTTTCCTGTGCCACCTTGACCTCTGTCAATGTCACTTCCAGATATGCTGCACATTTTTTTATGGTGTCCTTGGATAGGTCCTAAAAATTGCACAAGAATCCAAATAAATTTTGATACTTTTTTCAGTTGTTCAAACCCGTGGCTCAAGTGTTTGCAGTGCTTTATCTACCACCAGATTAAAACATTGCACTCTGAAGGCTGTTTTTGGATCTGGCAAAGGTTCATCTGCAGATTCATACTGTTTTTAATGTCCGATGTCGGGTACAATCGCCACCCCACTGGACAACTTCACCACCGCTTTTAGGGAAATTCGCCAACAAATTACAGTGGACCCTCGCCTAATGAACGCATCGCATAACGTTAAATCCGCCTAGCGATACATTTTAATGCAAAAATTTTGCCTCGGCTAGCGCTAAAAGACTCGCTCAATGCAATTCATTCGAGACGCGTCCATGTGTGGCCTGAGCCCGCCTCACTTGCTCCATGGGTGCCAATGTTTACAAACCAGCCACCGCGGTCGCTCCCAAGCATACAATCGGAACATTTCATATTATCACAGCCTTTTTAGTGATTGCACCTGCAAAATAAATCACCATGGGCCCCAAGAAGCTTCTAGTGCCAACCCTACAGCAAAAAGGGTGAGAATTACTATGGATATGAAGAAAGAGATCATTGCTAAGTATGAAAGTGGAGTGCATGTCTCCGAGCTGGCCAGGTTGTACACAAAACCCCAATCAACCATCGCTACTATTGTGGCCAAGAAAACGGCAAACAAGGAAGCTGTTCTTGCCAAAGGTGCAACTTTGTTTTCGAAACAGAGATTGCAAATGATAGATGATGTTGAGAGACTGTTATTGGTGCAGATAAACAAAAAATAGATAGCATCTCTCAAGCGATCATATGTGAAAAGGCTAGGAAGTTGCATGATGATTTAATTAGAAAAATGCCTGCAACTAGTGGTGATGTGAGTGAATTTAAGGCCAGCAAAGGTTGGTTTGAGAGATTTAAGAATCGTAGTGGCATACATAGTGTGATAAGGCATGGTGAGGCTGCCAATTCGGACCACAAAGTGGCTGAAAAATATGTGCAGGAATTCAAGGAGTACATAGACAGTGAAGAACTGAAACCTGAACAAGTGTTTGTGACGAAACAGGCCTGTTTTGGAAGAAAATGCCAAGCAGGACCTACATTACTCAGGAGGAAAAGGCACTCCCAGGACATAAGCCTATGAAAGACAGGCATACTCTGTTGATATGTGCTAATGCTAGTGGTGATTGCAAAGTGAAACCTTTATTGGTGTGTCACTCTGAAACTCCCAGAGTGTTCAGGAAAAACAATGTCCTCAAGGCTAATTTGTGTGTGCTGTGGAGGGCAAACAGTAAGGCATGGGTCACTAGGGACTTTTTCTATTACTGGTTACACCATGCATTTGCCCCCACTGTGAAAAATAACCTAACTGAAAAGAAATTAGACCTTAAGTACCTCCTGGTATTAGACAATGCTCCTGGTCATCCTTCAGACGTGGCAGAGCGACTTTCTGCAGAAATGAGCTTCATTAAGGTCAAGTTTTTGCCTCCTAATACCCCTCCTCTCCTGCAGCCCATGGACCAGCAGGTCATTTCCAACTTCAAGAAACTGTACACAAAAGCTATGTTTGAAAGGTGCTTTGTAGTGACCTCAGAAACTCAATTGACTCTAAGAGAGTGTTGGAGAGATCACTTTAGCATCCTCAATTGTGTAAACATTATAGGTAAGGCTTGGGAGGAAGTGACTAAGAGGACCTTGAACTCTGCTTGGAAGAAACTGTGGCCAGAATGTGTAGACAAAAGGGATTTTGAAGGGTTTGAGGCTAACCCTGGGAATCCTATGCCAGTTGAGGAATCCATTGTGGCATTGGAGAAGTCCTTGGGGTTGGAGGTTAGTGGAGAGGATGTGGAAGAGTTGGTGGAGGAGGACAATGAAGAACTAACCACTGATGAGCTGCTAGATCATCTTCAACAGCAAGAGGCCACACCTGAGGAAACTGCTTCGGAGGAGGGGATAGAGAAATTGAGGAAGTTGCCTACTTCAAAGATTAAGGAAATGTGTGCAATGTGGCTTAAAGTGCAAACCTTTTTTGATGAAAATCACCCTCACACAGCTAATGCAAGCTGTGCTGGTGGCTATTACACTGACAATGTTGTGAAACACTTTAGGAATGTCATAAAGGAACGGGAGGTACATAAGAACATAAGAAAGAAGGAACACTGCAACAGGCCTACTGACCCATGCGGAGCAGGTCCATGTGTCCCCCCGACTAGACCAATGACCCACCCTCCGGATTATCCCAATGACCCACCCAGTTTGGTCATCCCCACTCAAGGATGGAGCACTGTACCAGACCCAGCAGCACAAGCTAGTCAGGTCTAACTCACACCCACCCACACCCACTCACGTATTTAACTAACCTATTTTTAAAACTACACAACGTTTTAGCCTCAATAACTGTACTTGGGAGCTTGTTCCACTCATCCACAACTATATTACCAAACCAGTACTTTCCTATATCCTTCCTGAATCTGAATTTTTCTAACTTGAAACCATTGCTGAGAGTCCTGTCTTGGCTGGAAATTTTCAGCACACTATTTACATCCCCTTTATTTATTCCTGTTTTCTATTTATA